CAAGCTGAGTGGTGAGGTTGACATTCCAGAGGGATGAGATGTTGTCCAGAGGGATCTGGACAAGCTTGAGAAGCGGGTTCAGGTGAACCTCATGAGGTCCAACAAGGCCAAGTGCAGGGTCCTGCATCTGAGTTGGATCAAGCCCCCATATCTATACAGACTGGGGAATGAAGGGATTGAGAACAGCCCTGCAGAACACCCCTGCAGAGAAGGGCTTGGGGGTACTGGTGGATGAAAAACTGGACATCCCAGAAGGCCAGTTGCATACTGGGCTGCATCAAAACAAGCATGGCCAGTAGATCAAGAGAGGGGATTCTGCACCTCTAATCTGCTCTGGTGAGACCTCCCCTGGAGTCTGTGTCCAGCTCTCCAGCCCCAGCACCAGAAGGAGGTGGAGCTGTTGGAGTGTCCAGAGGAGCCACAGCAATGCTGGGAGGGCTGGAGCAGCTCTGCTGTGAGCACAGGCTGAGGAGTTGGGGTGTTCAGCCTGGAGAAGAGGAGGCTCTGGGGGGACCTTAGAGCGACCTCCCAGTGCCTGAGAGGGGCTACAGGAGAGCAGGGGAAGGGCTGGTTACAACAGAATGTAGTGACAGGATGAGGGATGATGGTTTTAAACGAGAGCAGGGTAGATTTAGATGAGACATTAGGAGGAAGTTCTTTACTGTGAGGGTGGTGAAACACAGGAACAGGCTGCCCAGAGAGGTGGTGGAGGCCCCATCCCTGGAGACAGTCAAGGTCAGATTTGATGGGGCTCTGATTTACCTCATCTAGTTGGGGATGTCCCTGCTCACTGCAGGGGGGTTGGACTAGGTGACCTTTGAAGGTCCCTTCCAACCCAAAGCATTCTACAACTCTATTATTTACTTCTGGTTTGGGTCTTTATTTTAACTCCAGCTCGAATAACTTTGTTTGCAGTGTACTCTGTGCCTCTCCTCTGACTCCCAGAATTATTCACCTTTACATCACAGCTATCTGAGGCCTTGTCCTGTAGATGCCCCTTCCTTGAGCATTCTCCCATCCCCTGCTGTGCTGCAGAGTCTTTTCTTTCTCACTTTGCCTCCCAGCCTTCCTGCCCTGCCTCCTTGAAGCCCCTCGTGCTGCTGGCCTGCTGCTCCAGGGTCTCTGCAGGGCCTAGAGACACTGTAGAGACAAATAATCAACCTGTCTTGATTATTTTAGATGTCTGCTTTAACACAAGATGAATCTCACTGCAGGCACCTGTATTTGCACAAGTACATCCCAGTGTGCTGGAAGCTTTGTGCACGAATGAAAAGTTGAGAAATAAAAGCAACCTGAAAAAAAGAAAAAAAAGAAGGAAAATGGAAAATAAAAAGGAAGGAAAAATTGAAACCAAGATGCCATCCCACAGAAGCTCTCAGGTGGCTTGTTTTTTTTTGTTTTTCTGTGTTTTCTTTCCTTATTTTGCACAATGGAAGGACAGGGGTATTTGAGGCAGATCTGAGTTTGTGCACTGTCAAGTTGAACCTAAGAAGGCAAATTTTCTCCTCTAGGTGGCTGTCCACAAGCACGCTGAAGCAGAGCTGCCCAAGGCTTTCAGGCAGTGGCTGTCTGCATGCAGCAGTGCCCCTCGGAGTGTGCTGCACGCTGCGTTACCTCCTGCACACACAGAGCAGGGAGTAAAGGCAGTGAAGCAAAACTCAGAGCACCAGTTCCTCCCAGCCACCTTGAAAGCTCAGAGCTCTCCCTGCAGTTCCTGGAGTCTTTGATGGAAGAATGTATTCACCGTGCTGAAACCAACAACTCAATCTGAATAAACAAAACCCCAGTGTGTTTTTAAAGTAGGACACTGCTTCTTCCATTTAGAAACTCTTTGATCTCTAGGAAATCCTCTGAAAGCCTTAGCTCAGTCACCAGGGGCTGGGGAACTGCAATTTGGTGCTCTGTTTCCAGTAGAAGCTAGCAGCTCTGCTGGCCTTCTCACTAGTGCTGGGGTGAAGGGAAATATCCTGTCATGCAGTGACAGCTTCCAGTTAAGATCTCTGATAATGTGGGGGAGGATTGCTAATTTAGGAACACCAAACGAGATCACGTTGATGAGGGAGTGGTGCTACTGTGAGATTACTCACCAGCCTCACAGCCTGTACCAGCTCTCAGTCCCCAGATCATAACCCACAGTTTCTCCAAGGAGCTCCTGGGAGTTTTGCATTTTCAGAGTAGCTACAAAGTGAAATATTGACCCCAAACTATATTGGCAAAACGATTTCTGCTTCAAAAGTTTCCAAAGAGTGATGATGCAGAGAAGCAGGATCCTATGGAAAGGGGAAGATTCCTCCATGGATGTTACCTAGACACTCCCATACCACAGGAATGTGCCTGCTAGCCCTTGGCTGACTCATTTCATTACAGATTTGTAAGGCAATATATGATTTAATCAAAGAAATGGCTAATACAACTGTGTTTGACCTCTTTCTTTTATTAGCATATTTTATGTTCATACTTTACAATAGAATAAGTTATATATACAGCATTAAACAAAATTATTAGAGAGTAAGCTTTGGCAAGTTCTACAGGATATCTTCTCATTCCTGTATGTCTTCTGTGTAACAATAAAAATATTGCATACTAAATAAAATAATGTTAAATAGTCTGTGTTCACATTGGCACAATCAGTTTTAAGACCCTAACTTTTCATGGCCCAATAAACCAAAAAGAGGATTCCTGTATCTTCTTTTCAACAATTAAATTATGTATACTATTAAATGACACATGAAATACAGGAGGCAGTCCACTGAATAACACTGTAGTTACACACTGGCACAAGAAAAATAAGAATCTTTATCTTTTCTTTTTTTTCCTTTCCCCCCCACCCTTTTTTTTTTTTTTAATTCTAGTAAATTCTAGGTCTTCAAAATCCTGTTGAAGATTGCAGAGTTGTCAGCAGATCTAGAAATCTTACTGAAGCCTGCTGGAATCTCTATGAATTCATCACTGCTTTCAAGCCAGCAAGAATCTCACCCCTAAATTAAACATCAGTAAGCCAGTTCAATGTTCAAATAACTGCAGATTGCTGCTTCATTAAAAGAAAAGTAAAAATTCTCATCCAATTTGGTCTATGCAAATTAATGAAGTGTGTGTTATGCTAGGAAAGAAATGGTGGGGTCAGGATAATGAGAGGGATAGGGTTTGTGTTGCAGGGTGTGCTTCCTCTGCTATACAGATTAAGTGCTGAAAAGCTACTAAATATTGATATTAAAGGGTGATACTATATGTTCTGCAGAATTATGATACTATCATAGATAAGATCTAGTTACTTATCATAGATAAGATCTAGTGACTTAGTGATGGAATACTGGTTGTTAACCTTGGGGCAAGAGTTAATATTTTTAATAGCATTTTATTCAGTCCTGCATTTGGGAATTTAAACAATACTGCTCTGTAACAGACATGTCTCTTAATTTAGTGGTTGCACTTGTTGACATCTGTCATTGCTCATTTTAGCTATAAATTAAGCAAATAGGTTTGGTATCAGCTACTGATTTGGGGTCTGAACAAGTTTTAGAGAACTTTTAACTGAGAAAATCAAGGATTAGTTAAAAGAAAAAAAACTAAGGTCAATTTTTGTTGTACATGAACTCACACTAATGCTTTAACTTCCAGAGGAGTTGGTTTTGACCTGTGGATTCCTTACTCATGACCTACCTTTGCAAGAGTATAGCATTTAAAAAACAATTTTCCCTCTGAATTTCAGGTGTCTCTAAAGAAATCCACTCCTTTTGCTCTCCATGTCAGATGTGCACAGCTATTGTCTGAAGTGCCTTTGCTAGGAATGCATTTTGATGTATAGATGTCACTACTGAAAAAAAAACACTTTTAATGGTAGTCAACAAGCCCTTTTCATGGCTTTTTTTTTTTTTCTAATGGCAAAGAAGACAATTTGTTGCCCTCAACTTGGAACAACTGCCAACTTTTATTGCCCACTTGCTCCCCAGCTTGTCCTCAGCAAGTCAGCAGTTTGAATCTACAATTCCTGAAATGTCAGTATGGACCAAAAGTGCATTTACCTGCATCATGTACAGAGTTTTGAAGCACTTCAATCTGTAAATTGACTCTTTTTTCATATAGTATAGTTAGTTAACCTGAGGGCTGTGTAGATACACCTATGCAAGTACTTCTAGGTTAAACAAAACCATAATAAGCAATGAAAATGAAAGTGGTTATGTATTAAATGCACTAGAGGTGATAGAAATGTGCCTGATGTGCATTAATTGATACTGTGGCTGTGGTACTGCTTCTGACTGTGACTATTAGACCATAGAATGAAGCTGTAAGAGACAGGAATGTTTTCAGACAGCAATTTGATGGCTTGCTGGAGCCCAGGCAGGATGGGGTCATCTGCACTTAGATTCATACACAGACTGCAGAGTGGATGTTTGTGTGTCCACCTATTGCCAGTAACTGTTCCACATGATCATTTTGCTCAATGACATGTTTTATGCCAAGCTTCTTGGGAGATCTCTGCTCTTCTTTTAGTAGATCTGTAACTTCACTCTTCTGTAGAAGTCGAGGAGCTTCCTGTTGGTGAGCAGGAGCCGTTATGTAGAAGGAACATCAACGGTCTCTGGTCCAAAGTCTTTGCCGCGGTGCTTGCTGGACTCCTGGTCCTGGTGGGTGATGTGGAAGTGCAGGTGCCAGGCAGGGGTGTCAGGACGTCCCTGCTGGCTCAGGAGCAGGCGTTGCTTGTGCCCACTCCAGGATATCTGCACACAAGGACTCGACGGCATCGAGCCGCTCGATCTGCACCAGTTTGGTGAGCAGCTCTGGGATGCTGTACCCCGCCGTGCTGATGCGGTCGAAGAGCTGCATGCCGTCTGTCATGCCCCCGATTTCATCCCTCTTCAGCCCAAAGCTCTCGGCCAGGTGGCGCCACGTCTTCACGATGGCTTTCTCTGTGTTGTAGGTGGAGCTGAGCATTCGGCTGGTCTTCTCCAGGCAGTCGAAGGGCAGCTCCGTGGGGCTCAGACCTGCGAAGGGAGGGGTTTGTGGTCAGACGGCTCCGTGCTCGAGCCTTGACTGTCAAGACTTTTATTCTATTGCAGTGTATAATGCTAGCAGTAAGCACAGCTAAAATCTTCAAGTGATAATCCATGATAGGTATGTCTAGCTCCAAAGATATTACTGTATATTACCAAGTTCTTCCTAGTGACAGCAGGGTACAATAATTAGGGTAAGAAGTTGTCTGGGGAAGAAGAATTAGATGGGTTGCACGAACTCCCACAGCACTGCCCCTTCCTTCAACAACTGAGCTGTTAGAAAAAGTGTATTGCAACCCTTTCTCTAGTGAGCAGCTCCATTAACACAGCTCTGCACGTCAGGCACAGCGTGTGAGCTGCAGAGACAGCTCTGCTGCTTCCCTCAGCCTGCCACCAGCAGCTGCTCCAACAGCTCTATAACTGGAAGTTGCCCTTGTAGGAATGTGAGGAGGGAGGTGAACGAGATGCTCACAAGCATGAAAGTCCCTGCTCGAGGTGCTCCATTGTCACTACTATCACTGAATCTCTGGAGAGGATTTAACATTCATCTTGTGGGGAAAAAGCTATATTTTCTTTTTTCCTGGACATTTTTTTCTATGTATTCATGGTCACAGAAGTGAGGAGAGAAGCAGCTACACTATTTTTCCAAAGGCAGTCTTTTGCTTCTGTAGTTTTCCTGCTTCATACTAAAAGTGGTAATTTGGTGGGAGATAGAGCTCCCTGAACCACAGAAAACTCATATGCACACAAAGTGTGTGTGTAAGGAAATGCAATCATGTCTTCTGCTCTGCAGGGAAATTAATTCATGTCTCTTCTGCCAAAGCAGTCTAGGTACTCAAGTGCTAAAGAAGGACACTTAAAACTTGGAAACTCCACTTTTTTGTGAGAGATAGGACAGCATTTAGAGAAGCAGATCAGGTCAATACTTCTGTTTTACCCTCAGTCCTGACTCTCCCCAAATGACACTTTCATATTTGGAACTAGTTTCTATCTCTTATCCACGAGACTAAACAAATCAATCAAACAGGTTTCCTCTAGATGGGGAATGTGAGAGTGTTTCTCTGCATCTTGGTCCCAGTACAGCCCAGCACCACCCTTCCAGCTCTCCACGGGAAGGAAGCCCATGCAGACACCTGGAGAGGAGCCTGGAGAGCTCTGGGCTCAGGGCACCACGGTGTCTTTCATGGTGATGGACTTTCTGGTTTCCACAGGAGGGCTGAGGCCTTTCTTACTCTGAAGCAAGTGGTTCCAAGCTCCTTCTGTGCTGCCAGCAGCAGTGCCAGCTCCGTGCACTCACCTTCTGCGACATCGCACACGTTGGCGTACACATCGAGTATCTTCTTCCTTCTGCTCTGAATCTGAAAGAGAAGAGTCTTGTTTCATTAATGTTTCAGTCACAGGAGTAAACAATTAGCAGACAAATGGAAAACCTGTGTGAGCTCTTCATTTCATGACACTGGGGATTATCACAGAACGTCCCCAAGGGTCCCTTTTGCAGACTCAAAGAAAAGGACACAGCAATTACTCTGTGAAGCATAAACCTATTTCTGATTTCATTTTCCACTGCTAGAGATCTTTCCATCCATCTTCCAGTCCTTTTTCAGATCAACTACTTTTCTGCTCCAGGTATTTGTGTATTTTATTTCTCTTCCAGACCAAAGCAAACTCCTGACAATGAGGATAAATCCAATAGCACATCTATAGGCAATTAGTGCAGGGATGTGCAGGGAAACAGGACAGGACTGAGCAGGGGGAATGAAATTCTGGCTGAAATTCTCTTCTTCCTGTAATCTAAGGGGTCTGTAGAGGAGAGGATCTTCCTTGCTGTCATTTAGTACATTAAGAAGTAACTGTGTTTCCTTCCATGACATATTGCCTGGTCGAATCTGAAACATTTGACAAATAGATTATAAATAAATAAAATCAGTGAGGCTTTGGACAGGGAAAATTTAAGGTCCAGAGTGCTCTAGCCATTTTTGACACAAAAGAAACTTGGGCTGAAAAACCTGATATTTTCCAAGCTGAAAATGGACATTTTGATACAGTTTCATTTAGCAAAAATATCCTTAAGATTTCGTCTTGGATTCAATGTGAAGGGAAAACAAATGTCAAAATGTCATGAGTTCTCAGGGGCTGGAATTGTCATCCCTCTGTCAGCTCTCATTAGGACTGAGCTTTCTGAAAAGCTGTCTTTTTGACAGGGCCCTAGCATTATCTCCACAAATTCGCCACCTTTCACTGCAAACCAGGCTAGAAGAAAAGCTCAGCTTTCAGAATTTATTTCATTTTTTATTATGGAAAGACTTTCCTCGTTTTATTTGGGCTCTAAAGGGCAAGGCACATCCATGCCTTGGATTAACAGAGTTGCAGCTGGAGACCACAAGGTGGCTGCTCCACCTGAAGCCTGTTTTGCAGGCAGAGATGGTGAGCAAGTGTGCTGCACCACAAGACAACCCAACCCAGGCACTGATTGCTGGTCCCACCTTCCTGGTATAATTGACATGTGCTTAATTGGTTGTGCTGCTCTTGTAGGCTCAGATTAGCTGTGTTAGAACCTTGTAAACAGGCAGCTTTCTTTTCATGGGGTTTGTTAAAACTCCTCCCAAACTATTGGATGCTTATTTTCACTCTCTCACTTTTAGGGCAAGGTTGAATAATTCCATGCCCATGAAAAATTTAGCAGGATGCTTTTTCTACCAGAGCCAGAAGATGGGGAATTTGTAAAGCTTGTGCTCAAAGTGAAGAGGTGAAGTTGAGCCTGATGATCCTCCCTGTGGTAGCTCATTGCTTAATGGTTTTTGGTTTAATCAGGAAGGAGAGGACTTGGTTAAAAACAACTCTCTAACTTTCTTTACCCTTGTCCCATAGCTACTTAATACTCTTTCCTGTACTAGAAATGTTACTTAATCTTCAGCCTGAAGCAAATTATTGCCTTTCTAACTTGTGGCAACTGGCTTAATTATGAAATCTTAGGTACGGAGTGGAGGATCTTGATGCAATCTGCACATTTGTTGAAAAGTTTGTCTTCAGCCTTGTCAGCAGGCTTCAGTCCATGAGAAGTAGGTGGGAAAAGAAGGTCTGGGAGAAATATTTCGTGCTTCAGGTGTGCTTATGAGCTATCTAAACCACTTTGGAGAACACATCTATTACACATCACCTTTAGAAGGTAAGCCAGTTTCTATCATATGTTCTGATTTCATGCCTACATAACTTGTACTATCCAATCTCAGGAGCATACAGAAGTATGATAAAGCTGCATATTTACAGAGACCTCAGAAAACTCCATTTTGAAATGGGAGTGTAGGAGCAGTAAGTTATTTTCAGATGGTTGTAACTCTGCAATTGCAAAAACATTTACCTTGTGCTGAGACTTTGTGTCTGTACTCAGCTGAAAAAATGAGATCTTCAAAAAACTTTCAGCTGACCCATCCCAATGACTTAAAACATGCAAACATGAGGAGATGCATTTTCAAACCTTTATAGTCTTAAAAGATACCTGATGTTTGATATTAATGTCACAATTCTGTCCTTACCTATTGCCATTTAAAAGTTCTTAAGTACTAAAAAGATAAAAAATATCTCAACAGACCTTTTTAAGGACAGTTTCATGTTAATACAAATTAAAAAGCTCTGTGGGTGAGTTGTGGCCTTAACTACACCTTGAAATATTCCAAGTGAGAGAAAACACCCTGAGCACAACATGCTCAGCAGGAGAAAGCCTTCCACAGCAGAACAAAGAGATGCCCAGAGTCCTTGAGAGCATGGGAGTGTCCTTCAGAGCATGTGTGTGTTTTTCAGGATTATACATGAAAAACAAGCACAGCAGAGAATATTATTAAAACCTCTGCTGTGGAAATACCAATGCTACTGGGTCAAGGTACTCAGCTCCTGTGCTGTGGTATGAATCTGGCTGTGCTGCTACATTTATTTTCTGTCTTAGATTTTCTGTGGTAAATGTAGCATCAAAGTTAATTCTATAAGCATTACCTACATTGGAGCTTTGCTGTTACTTTTTTATTTGACTATAAAATAGAATACTCAAAAAAATCACAGCTACTACTCTTTAAGAAATGTACATTTTTTTCAGCTCTGAGCAGTATATATGTACATCTATGTCACTGTGCAGAGGAGTTTTTATACTAAATTTGTCTGGAGAAACTTGTAAATTAGTATGGTCTGCATTATAATGAAATCTGGGGAGGAACAGTTTGAATATTTTTTTTCCTTAAAAAAAGAAGACAGGAAAACACTCTGAATTTTTAAATCTCAAAATAGCCTTACCCCAGTTGATTTATTGCTCGTAGAAGATTTATCTCTGGCCAAATGCACTAAAGATAACAGGCATCTCTCTGGAGTTCCTTGCTTGTCAACTGCAGCCTCTTCATCACTATCCATACTACGGCTCAGAAGTCGTTCGTTCTCAGAAGAGGCATCATTTTCACTGGAAAGTGAAGGATATGGTTATTTTACAGGAGTCTCTCATGGACTGATGCCAATCATCTCCTTTTTGTTATCCTAGAGTCATGGAAAAAAGGTATCTTCCATTTTTTTTAAAGTGCATTTCCTCCAAAATCCTGTGAATGTAGCTTCATACGCCTGCCCCAAGCACGGACACAATGCCCACCAAGTTACACAGTCATGCATGGTTTGCAAAAATCTTCTTTGTAGAGGGATTTTCCAGCTGAGGACAACTTTTAAACCACCTGAAGTGTGTTACCCAGCCAGATATGGCCAAGAGGGAGACAGAAAGTCAGGAAAACTATCACAATATGCCACCCAGATGATGCTATGGACAAGGAGTTTCCTTCAGGCCTCAAGCACCTATTTTTGCTCCTCCTGCCTGGAAGTGAAAAGGAACCTTTCTAAGGGCATGTAGGTGAGAGCAGCACTCTGATCCCAAACATGGACCTCTCAAAAGAGGAGAGGGAGACCCAGGAGCTTCTGAATTGGTCATGGAGGGCCTGGGGAGGACACAGGTTTCTCTTGGGTAATGTTGGTCACCCTCTCTTAGAACAGTGAGGGGGAAAAGCCTATAAACATGTCCAGTCTTCTCCCTGCTGCAGAAAATTACCAGCATCCTCTTCTAATTTGTTCTTCCCCTGTTCCTCTGTACCAGGATGAATGCTGACTATGTCCCTCCCCCACTCCAATCCAAACTGGAATGATGTTTGCCTTTTACCCACCTTTTAACAGCCTTAGCTGGAGTTGCTGTCAGTTTTTCAAACTCTTCTTTCTCAGAGAATATCACAACATTATCTGTAGATCAACAATTAGAGAAATTTAAATTGGCAAGGAGTTTCCAAACCAGCATTTTGTCTCAGGAGCTGGTTCTGCTGGCAAGCTTACTGCAAATATGAATCTCTCTGATACCTTTTTAATTGCTGTGAGGGGATTAAGTGACATTCTGGAAGCACAAAAACTATTATACATAATTCCTTAGTAAACTGACATGGATTTTATACAATTCAAAAGAGAAATTGTAATTTAGAGAAATGCATTAAGAGTATTTAAGCTCAGTGTTGTCTTGGACAGAAAAAAAAACAAAATGAAAGCAACTTATACCTTGCACTTCTTTCTTCTCTTCTTGAGTGTTAGCCTGAGCTTCCACATTTTTTACTGAGTGGCTCTTACAACAGGCTGGAAAATGAAATTACAACACTAATTATTCTCAGAAGCTCCCTAACAATAGCCTTTGCAGCTAAAACTTCACGTGCTGAACAGTTACCTTGAGCAGAAGGTTTTGTTTTCACAATGTAAAACATGATGATGAGGACGATGGCAATGGCCATTATGAAGATGGTAGACATGGCAATAATAAGAGCTGTAGCCAGATGGCCTTGTCCTGAAAGATCTGCTGGAATAAACCAAAAAATACTTCCATAAAGGAGCAACTCTTGGGATCAGAGCACAGTTAATGGTTTGTGGTCTGCTCTACATTTACACGTTGCACACTCAGTTAGTTGATCTGGCTTGGTTATGTGTTAAGCATTGAAAAAATTAGTGTTACATCTCAAAGGCAAACTAATTAACAGTTTTCAAAATTGTGGCATTTATGCTGCAGTAACTAGAAAACAGTATTCATTAAAAATATTGGATGGTATGATTAAAGATGCAGGGATTTGTATAACCATATTGGAAGCTATATATAAGCAAGAGTAGCAGCCTTCCTAACAACTGTATTGGGGAAACAGTATTGGAAAGAAGAAGAAAATCAAAATAAACAAAGAGGATGAGAGGGAAATGACTGTGGATAACTAGGACAGCCTGAAAAGCTTTGTAGTAAAAAGGAGAACACAATGCACACCTAGAAGAACTGATGTTTTTCTAACAAAGACATAAAAACCAGCACGGCTAGGAGGTGAATTTAAAGCAAGAGGTGTGAAAAGGCATTCAGAAGCAGAATTGGGATGCAAAAGATGGGAAGTTTAAAAAGCCACAAAAAGATGCAGAAAATGACAGGGGTGCTAAAATGCACAAAAACTTTATTTTTTCTGAAAACAATCCTCACAATCACATTTCCAGACAACACCAGGAGGATCTGCATTGTCAAGTACCTCATTAACTACATCTTTCCTGTTGTGTCTTCTCAGGTTCCCAGATTTTTAAAACTTGATAAACATGCTGGAGAACTGTTTATGTCAGCTCAGGAAGAAACCAGCCATATTTGTGTATGAAATTATTTTCACCAGTGTCAGCTAAGCTTTGCTGAGGCATTTCTGTATGGCTACAAATAATGAGCTGAGTTTACTGCTGGCATTACTGGGTACAATTAAAATCCATTTTAAGTCCATCTATCTAAAACGGTGGTGTTGATTAACCAAGAAATAGAAACTAATTCTGAATTATTTTGAATTGCAGTTTTGGAAATCTGGAAACAGTGGCAACAAAATTCACAGTATTTTCAGTTTGGCTGAAATGGCACATAGTTGATGCCATTTTCCAAACAAATGGCTGCTAAGTTAAATCTGTGAATATATTCTTACCTTTGTGAGCATGCTGGTAAGGTGAGAAAGTGCTTGTGCCAGAGGTACTTGGGAAAATGGCTGAAATGCCAGAGGTAGCCCCTGCACCTGCAATATAAACAGACAGGCCATGAGCTTCCACAGTTGCTTTGGTCAGTCAAACCAATCCCTTGGCACAAGTAAACAGAGCCTTGATTGCATTTCCCATTCTTTAGCAAAGTACTCATGAACTTGTTGGTTTTGAAACGTCATGAACCCCAATGGGGATTTCTGGCAGATTGGAAAACTGCATTACAGAATACATTTGTGCATAGGATCCAGAAGGAGTGGAAGAAGTCAAAACTCCTGCATGATTATGAACCTAGAGAAACCCAAGCATCTTCAGACACAAAGATTCCAGTATTACAGATCTGCCCTGGGTAAAAGGAAGAGGTGACTCGAGCTGTTTACAGCCCCCACTCCATCCTTTGCAGCTGCAGAGCCCAAGCCCCAGCCCGTGTACTCCTCAGGTCAGTGCCTCTCCCAGGTATCCTGCAGCAGAAGGATCATTGGGAAACTCAGCTGGCATGGAAACCCTCGTGACCCCCCCAGGAAATGCTAAGAGAGGTGACAAATAACAGTGTTGATTGCCTTCCTGTTCCATGGAGCTGCACTTCCATAAAAGGGAATATTAGAATTTCCTGCCCTCCAGCTGGGCAGTATGTTTCTTATGATCCCCCCTGTCAATCTAAATCTATATTCTGGAGAGGTGTGAAATCCACAAACAATGAAATGAAGAACTTCCTATTTCATGCTGGCAGAGGAGTCAGGCTGTTCAATAGGGGCTTCCATGTCTAAACTCTCCAGGTAAGTTTAAAAGTTCATATTACTCTTCCAGATGGTGCTACACACCAAGTTTTCAAAACAGTACAACCAAGCCATGAATTAACCCATTCTGACAATGGCAGACAGCACTGTGTATTGTTGGGGACAGGGCAGCTGATGGGAATGCTTTCACACAGGATAGTGTTGGCACAGCATTCCAAAACAGAATAAAAACATTAGGCTTGGGAGAAAATGCTCTTTTCATTGTCAAATAAACTTTAATATCATTGGTAAGGGGGTAACACAAACAGCTCCTATCAACAGACACTGAAAAACATCTTCTGGCTTGGTGAGGGCATGAAATCCCTCCTGCTTCCTATTAGCTGCCTGTGGAAAAAGTGCAGTGATAATGAAACTCAGCAGACCTAAAGGCAAAAGAGTGTCCCAGTCATCTGGAGAGGTGCACACAGCACATGGTTCCACAAGCTAGTCTGGCAGCTAGAGCAGCTCAGGACTCTGCCATTCTCTTGACCTAGTAATTACTCCAAGAAATTAAATGCACCAGGTAAACTTGACAGGAAATTAAGTGCTCTGGAATGGCCTGAGAAATGTTCCATGGTTAAGAACAAAGCAATATACATGTTCTTCACATTAAGAGAAATGTTTTCTAAAAAGACAAAAAAAAACCCCAGCATTACCTAACCCAAAACATGGCTGCTTGTAGGGAATGAGAAACGTCCACTTCACGTGGCCCCAGAGCATGAGCTGCAGATGTCTTCAAAAGAAACTGTCTTTAACAATGGTAAAGCTTCTTTCTAACCTCATTTGTTGGAAGGAAATGGATAAATTTTTTTCAAACTGAAGAAGTGTTTTCATAAAGCTTTAAATATACTAATTTGTTAATTCAGATGCTCTTCATGTTATGTAAATGACAGGCAGCTGACATCAGTCTGTCCTCTACTCCCTCTGTGTGAGATCTCCTTCTAACAAGAACTAGCTGTGAGCTCCAGGAACTGCAGCACAGCAGCAGACCATCTAGGTATCAGTAGATGAATACATCACTTGCATGCCATGGAGATTAAAGACAGGTAATTTGTTAAATTTTCAGCAATTCTCAAAACCAAAGTGAGTCATTCTTGGTCTTGACCCTTGTATTTACTCATCGTGGCTGGACAACAGAGGAAATGTAGTAAATGGCCAGTGCTGTAGCCCAGCACTTTCTTTCATGTCCCCAGCTACCAGGCTTATGCTTATTCTTGCAATCCCCCTGGCAAATCCCATTACAGCCAATTGTAATTCTGCAAGCTCCAACAAGTCCACAATAGCTTCTCCTACACCTCCTTTCAGCTACCACAGGCACACCGTGCTGCTTTGTCTGTGTGGAGCTTGTTGAGCAGGATCCAGCTTGTCTCCTCCACAAGCAAGCTTTATCAGACTCCTGTCTGGCTCTTTTCCTTCCTCTGAGATAGGGACTCACTGAAGTGTTCCTGCCTAATCAATCTCTCAGTCCTTTGCTGTTGTTAACCTCATGTTCTTCACCTGCCTGTGGAAGGAAGCTGAGCTTTCTGAGGTGGGAAGTCCCTCAGCAGCACACAGAGCATCGGATGGTGAGGAGGAGGAAGGTCATCCATCCATTCAGCATCACCATCATGCTTCCCCCAGCTCTGCCCCCATCAGGATAGGGCCTGTTGCCCCAGCCAGGTGTGTGCTCACACACACACACACACAGGAGCCTCTCCCATGCTGAGGAGTGAGCCCCTTCAGCTCCAGAGCCTACGTGCAGAACTCCCTCTGCACGGGCACGGGGCCACCTCGCTCCTGCTGCAGTGCCTGTTGTGGCAGAAGCAAGGCTGCTGCTGGAAGGTGATGGCCTTTGACACAGGCCTAGGTGGGAGTTACTCGTTAGGCATGTTTTAAGCCTATTATCAAATTTAATAATTTGGCACGTTCATTAGAAGCCCAGATTTTTCTTCAGATGTGGCTTAGAAGAAAGTGCCAATTCCTGCACCTGCACTACAAAAGGAACCCAGAAAGCCAGTTTCTGCAGAAGTTCACTTCATATTGGTTTGGGGGGAGCAAAAAGAAGCAGAACTTGGAGCTGCTGCTTTTTCCCAGGCCAGCACTACACCACGACTACAATGTCAGTCAGTTGTTCCAGTTTTGCATCCCAATCACATTATTAATTCTGGTTTCAATATAGATGACACACATAATCTGTAATGGCTCAGGTAGAGTTCAGGCAGAGACTTCCTAAGGTGCTACAGCACAACATATGGAAAAAATCTCTATTTTAAGCACAAAGAAAAGACTTATGGCTGTAATATAGCTGTACAAAAGAGTGGTATACATTCCTAGACACCTGTAAGTAATATTGTAGGAATGTGATAAAGACATTAGGAAAGAAGTTTATCACTGCAGGTTGGTCAGGTTTAGCCTTTTTTTTTTTTTAATTCAAAAATGGTATATTTAGTTATAACTTTCTTGGAGTCTAAATACAGTTTTACTAAAAGAACAACTGAATTTCTATCCACGTTGGAATGTTGGGTTTTTTTTTAACACAAAGATGGTTTTAACATGAATTGCCATGCAGCCAGACTTCTGCCCTCCTCGTGAACAAACGCTGGGCAATAAAATACTTGTTGTGTTGCTGTTTCAAAGACCCTTTCTGCTACATGCAATAAGACTGTTAAAGTTGTCAATGTATCTTGAGCCAGACTTACAAAGAGAAAAGACAAACAAGACTATCAGATTTGTGAGAGGAGGAGGAGGAGGGCACAGGGAGGGGATGTTTTACCAACATGCCCCCTTGCAAGTGTCTGTGAGTGAACAAAATCTGGTGCATTGGAGACCATATGTGCCCCTGAGATCTGTTGCTGGGGGTGTCAGCTCACTGCCCTGTGCAAAGGTCTGCTGCTCCCAGCTAGTAGCAGCTTCATTCAAGTTTATTTAATCCTTAATAAGATAGTTCAAAAACACTCAAAGCGTCTATAAAAGAGACCATCAGAGTGATCCTGAAATAAGAAGTGTTTCAAAACTTTCCTTGTGTATCTGTGTATCTATTTCTTGGCATGGAGTGCAGCTTGCTTTCTCCTGCTGCATCTCTTTTCTCACAGCCATGGCCCATTTGTGAATGCAACAGACACTCCTCACTGCCAGCCAAGCTGCACATCCCATCACTGAGGCTGTTCCACAGGAGCAAAGGGAGATAGAGCACACAGGCCAATAAATAACTAAGCAACCTGGAATAGGAGATGACAAGTAAATGATATTGAGGTGAAATTCAATGAAGGTAGACAGTTTATGGATGACACAGTAATTGAGAACTGGATTATGACTAAACCTAGTCATAAATAAAGACCTAGATATGTAGAAAGCATAGATCAGAATTTTCAAATTAATGGGACTCTGTATTCAGGTACTTACATGGAAGATTTGGTTTCAAACTCAAGAAAGCAACACTTCATATGGAAAACCTACACACTTAGAAGGTCAAAAGCCAAGCCACCTTCTAAGGTGTTTACACATCACAGTGATCACACATGAGCCAGCTCTGACAATATGACAAACCACTACTAACAGAGCACATCCTAGGCAATGGAGGGATGCTTGACTGCTCTTTATTTTACTGACTCGCTTTCATGGCACATGCAGGATACTGTAAGACAATTTAATGTTTCCTGGAGCCACAGGTAGATACTTCAATTAGTGTAGGTAGTTATTAACCCAGGAAGAGCATGAAGTAAACTAATTCCTGAGGTTAAACCTTCTAAAAATGGTGACAGCAATGTTCCCTCAGACTTCTGGTTTTGGTCTGGTCACTCTCCCCATAACCACTACTCTTCAAACACACAAAAGGAAATATTGCTGATGTCTTCTCTGTAATGTCTTTAATTATTTTATTTCTTTTGCTTTGCCAGGGCAGGGAAGTGCTGATGATTACAGCTCACGTGGCCTTAGTCTGACAATTTATTTGCATCTGTTGAAGTTTTGCTTCAGCTTTGCTGGGAGCTGTAATCACTGCACAGTTCTGGAAGGTCACAGGCACACACTTCATGAACTAAGCCTGTGTCCAGGAGTCCAGGGTTGTGAATTCAGGGTTGCTGTGAGCCTGGGCAGAGCAATGCTGCAGAGACCTGCAATATCTCCCATGGGTGAGTGCTGCTCAGCGTGGGAGCTGCAGCTCCAGCACGGGGGAACACATCAAAGTCATTGTTTTGCTTCAGGAGAACTGTGCAGAAAGCAGATGCCCTCCTGAGAGATACCTGGGCCCAGCTTTCCCATCAGCTGAGGACAGCAAAACCCATATTTGCTTCTCAGATCCCTCCCCTTGAAGGTTTATGACTGAAGCTGGCCAATTTTGTCCTAAGGTTAGTTTCCTTTCTTTCCTAATATAGACAGACCCTAAGGGGATGAGAATTAGGCCATACCACCAATGAACAGTAAAGTACTGCCTTCAACATTTCTCCCATTCCACTTGTGAAGAGTAATGGGGTGTTCAGAGATCAAACAACACAGGGGAAAAAAAAAAAAGTAGTTTGTTAGCTCCAGCTAACAATCCTGTTGATTTGATTCATTTGTAAGCACAACGTGAAGAAGAAGGAAAAAGAAATAGTCCTGTTAAAAAAGAACAAAACTGGCAAGGAAAGAAAATGAGTGATATTACCAAGAATAGGGAGTTAAAATAAAAATCTCTGAAAAAAAAATTCACTCATACAAGTGGTTTGGGCATTAGGCTTGTTTGTTTTAAGCATTTCATGTAAAGAGTCTGACTCTCAGTCTTCAGTAGACGGGTGTGGAAGGGACCCCCCTGCCTACAGCTTGTCACATTGTTCCATCTCATCTGTTTAGCTGCTTTTCAAGTTCTAATGTTTCAACAATAAAAATGATCTGTTATGTTTCTAGATGCTATTCGTTCTTTAGTAATTTAAAAATAACTACTTGTTATATTTATTTATTTTTTTAAATTTTCCTAAGCCACCATCAGAAGATGTTAGACTTAAAAACTTACACAGGTTGATTATTGCATCTGTTTTCATCTGTATGACCAGCAAAGAAAATAAGAGAAAATAACAGTATTTTGTGCTCATCCATGTATAATATATACAGATGAAAAAAGAAAACCCTCAACCACTTCCTGAGTTCTCTAGATCAATAACTTGGGAGTGGAAAAGAATTTGTATATTTGAGGCAACTGTGTAAACAAAACTTCAGAGTAAATGTTCTTCAAGTTTTCTTAGTAGAGTTTGATTTTGTTTTCCTCCATTATTTTTGAATTGGAATGGTGAATATCAAAGTTTGAAGAGGGGAGCAGAGTTAATATGCATAAACAGATAGAGAATTGCAGCTGCCAAAAGACAAAATCTCTTTCAGCAAACCTCTCCATCAGAGAAACTCGATGTAGTCTTAAACCTTCTGTCTTTTGCACATACTTTTACACTGGATAAAAGAAAAACAAACCAAAACAAAGCCCATCACACAACAAAAACACTCCACGTAGTCAGAGGCCTCAAGTGACTCCAGTCCCAGAGGTGTCAACAGAAAATCCAACACCATTACCTGTGGGAAGCCACATCTTAAAGTTTGCTGCTCGTTATCTTAATTATTTGATTTGCATAGGAAACCTGCCTCCCCTCCTTTCTGCAGTGCTGCTGTTTATCACAGAGGCATCACGTCCCAGTTTGCTGTCAGCAAGGGGCACTGGTGGCTCCTGATCTGCTCCATGCACAGCTGAAGGTCTCACAGCTTTGAGGTTTTGGCACTGAGCTCCTGTGAGTTGAGCAGTCCAGACCTGAGGCTCCTACACAGCAGACTTGAGGGCCTGGAAATATTCCATAAGTGTTCCACAGTGCCCAAGAGATGAAAAATTGGAGCCTTTACAGTGGTGTTTACCCTTTTCCCAGTAAGAAAAGGCTATCCTGCTAAACAACCAAAATCCTTAGGAGCACATGAGGATGGTCATGCACAGCCTCTTCCTCGTCCATGCCCATTGCCCACAGGCTGCCACTGAAGCCTGGTACTCCACCCAGGCTGGAAGAGACCACTGCAATAGGTTGCTAGACCACTGGAATAGGTTGCCCAGAGAGGTGCTGGAGGCCCCATCCCTGGGGACATTCAAGGTCAGGCTGGATAAAGCTTTCAGTGACTTGACCCAGTTGGAGATGTCCCTGTTTATGGCAGGAGGGTTGGGCTAGATGACCTTTGGAGGCCCTTCCAACCCAGACATTCTATGACTCTATGACTGCAAAACACTGTTGCTCCCACCCTTCAGTCCACAGAGAGTTCCAACATGGTAACCTGCCAATACATTGGCCTGAAATCTCTGACCTCTGTGAAATGTCTTCCTCTCTGACCCCTATTTTTAATGCTATTTTGTGCTTTTTATTTCTCAAGTCTCCTGAGAGGAACAAAAAAAAAAAAGGCCCATCAGGGAATTTCTTCCTCACTTGCAGCCTTTTTGACTCTAATATTTCCAGGTGCTGAGACACGGGGTGTTCATCTTGTTTCCCCAGCATTTCAAGGTTTATGGAGTGTGTAGGACATGAAAGTTGCACAGCAGGCTCTTGGAGTTGAAAGCTATTTGTTTACCCTTTGATCAAACCCAAATACTTTTCTGCCAGCTAAAATGTGTCATCAGGCAAATTCTCTGAGCAGGTTTCCATGCAGCAGCACAGCCCCCCCACTTCACTCCCCTGGCCCCCTGTAGCACACAGGCCAGGCACCTTCCACAGCAAGGTGTTTTTCCAGCTAAGGAGAGCACCACTGTCCTCCAAACCTATCTCAGACCTAAAGAAGGCCTGAAATGAGATTTCTCTCTCCTCATATTTCTGGCTTGAAGTGCAGAGCTGAAGTCTGTCACCCCACCTTCCTATTTTTAAGTAATATTTGTCATCCTTGTTTCCTTGCAACCCATTGGGTCACCTTTCTCCAGTGCTGTGCTGTGTGCAGGAGTGCTAGGAGAAAAGGAGCTTTAGGGGAGAGGCACCCTTTTTGTGGGGGGTTTAGGCTCCTGAATGTTGTTCCATGCTGTTTTGAAATCTCATAAAAAGAAGAGAAGATTCCTGGGACCATCTGGAGTTCTCATTCTGGATTCTCCACCGTGATGGCCAGTCAATAAACAGAAGCTGTTCTGCACAGAGGAAGCATTCCTACCAAAGAGCTGATTTTACCCTTCACAAGACAGAAACCATGTGCTCCTGTTGAGGTTGAATGCTATTAAGGCATTTAGAGCACAGCACTTAGAGGAGATTGGACTTTTCAAACCTCCAAAACTGATGCAGTCATGCAACACTGACAGGTCACCTTTCCTTTGCTCTTACTGGTATAATGTGATGACAGTGAAACATGCAGTAAAGATAATTTGCTAATACCAGATTTTATGCTGCCTACCACAACAGTGAGATTTTCAAGAGGTTCCTGCAGCAAGGCTCATTTTCCACCCAGAGTGGAAATTATTGCCTGTGAATTAGGGAGCTGCCATTCCAAACAGTGTCCAGAGGTTTAGCCATCATAAACCAAATTACCTGAGCTTAATGATGTGAGAGATCTGGATTTGAAGAAGCTTTACCACCTTTTGAACACTTGTAATCACATGGTTGGGTTCACAGACTTAATTAAAATGGTTATGTTTACTCTTTCTAGGACTGATATTTCCTCCTACCTTAGTAACCCAGTCCTTTTGTAAGTTCAGGCACCTGCCTAAATTCCTCCCAGAGATCACACCCTCACCTCACCTACTACAGAGCTGATCTCACCAAAATCACACTCACCCTGCCCTCTCTCACCCCCATTCTCAGGCACAAGTGGATGTCCCAGGCCTGGGTGGGCTCCTGCAGCCAGGCAGGGTGAGCAGCTGCACAAGGGACCAGCCACCTCCCATGCAGGCAGCTGAGGGAGACAACTCCCCTGGGGCTGTTACTGCTCCTCAGGAGCTCTGTGGGGTTGTAATTATCCTCTGGCTCACCTGAGCTCTTGCACTTTAGGAAAGGTGGTAACAGTTCAGGACCTGTCCTCTGAGGTGGCTTGCAGAGTAACAAGGACACGCAGTGCAGCAGCACCTCACCCAAGTAACTGCTAATTATGGACACAAATAAATGCTCAGGGACCTTTGTGTCAACCTCTGCTTTCCAACAGCACAGGCAAAACATTGGAATCCTTTTTCATGACAAAGACTTTAAAAAGAACAGAACATGGACAGGGTTTGGGGTTTAGATGCAACAAGTTTCTCTGAAGGAAGGTCCATTTTGTCTGGTGTGTTTCTTAGGGTTTTTTTAAGCTTTTTCTCCTGATCTGTTCCAGATTCTCCAAGGGGGTGTCAAAGTAATATAGTTCTTGAAAAAGAACTTATTTTTTCCCTTTCTTTTTCTCACTTTCTTTACTCCCTAAAGAAGAAAGTAGTTTTTGATGGGGCTGACATCTGCATCACACTGCTGATGCATGACTGTCCCTCCTGCCCAGGGCAGGAGCAGGGGTAAGCCATGGCAGGTACTGCTGGGGTGCCACACACATGGACAGAGAGGTTTTTTCAGGAGGCAAACCACAGCTTCTTTTGTCAATGCCATCTACAGAACTGGCTCTTATCAGTGCTGACCACCACACGTCTATGTCAGCCCTGGCATCCCTCTGGAACCAAAGGATATGAAGAGGTGTGTTTTCTTCATAGCTGAACTAAAAAAACACACAGATTTGTGCCTTCCTCCACCTACTGGCTAAATAACCATAGTGAGTCCTGGACAGGATGTCTTCACAGATGAAAACTGGAGCACAACCTGCAAACAGCAGGTCCTAAAACCAAAGGTTCTGATCTCTCCCCAAACGTTCAGCATTTCCTCCTGCTGTTGGACTAGCCTGGAGCAGAAATTGCTTTGCTGGAGATGGGACTTACTGTTTGAACGTAATAATTACTGCTGAAAGGCTTCATATTGAGCTTCCAGATGACTGCAAGCCAAAAGAAGTGCACAGGAGCTGCAGGACACTTACATTCCTTGGTGTGGGGAGGTGCCAGCAAGCAGGAGTAGCAAACCATCCCATAGATGTTCCGAGGTCTGTTCTCCAGCATGTAGTAACTAAAAAGAAGGGCAAGATGAGGCAAAACAGTGTAAATGAATACACTACAACTGAGCAGGGTTCAGCCACAACCAATTATACCCAGATAAAATCATTAAAAAAAAAAAAAACAAAACTTTTATAAGCAATTTGATGCAAAGATTGTTCGTCTTCATTTTTTTGGTTGTTTTTAAACTGCCTGAATGGAGACAGTGTTTCTCCTCTTCCCTTCCTCCTAAAAGGCAATTAATCAACCATCAGCCTACATGACAAGAAGTAGTATCATTGCCTAAAACAACATCATTCTCCCTGCTGAGTTCAAGCTGCAGTTTGCAGCATGCCCTGACATAAGTTTTTTTTTCAGAATAAGGGAATGCTGTTTTTTGAAGCAGCAGTCTCTCAGGCAAGACCACCAGTTGGATATGGTTGGCTAATTTTCTTCACAAACACCCTAACAATAATCTCCTTAATGTTAGAACCAAATCTGAGCCAAATCAGAATTAAAAAAAAAAACATACAGGAAAATACCAGCCTCACAGGGACAGCCAGATTAAGGTTTACAGTTTGGGGTTTATCTTTTTGAGTTTGTGTTGGTCTTTGATAGTGGAATTGCAGCACGAAGGACAGGTTTGCATGTTTGGAACTTCTGGGATGCTAATAAAATTAGTGTTGAAATAAGGTAATTGGTTATGAAAGAATTGGATCCACAGGCAACCTAATGAGTAAATTACACCAAAATCATGCAGAGTGGAAGTTATGAATACATCTTTACAAATCACTTGTAAATCACTACAAATTTGAATGAAGAAATTATTAAATTCATAATCCACTCTATGTGGACAGGTGCTTAACATAATAAACACTTCAGACAATGGGGAATCTGTTTTCTGCTCTTACATACCTGTATGTGCATGTGTAGTATGGGCTTTTTTTTTCTGGAAAAATGTATTCATTGTTAGGGAATGACTGCTGAAACTCCATCAAACCCCTTGGTAATTAATAAATGACCCAGCCTACAAGAAAGGGATGTGGGTCCAAGAAATGGAGCATGGAGAGTTGAGGATGGGGGTTGGAGGTACCTCAGAGGGCAGGTAAATTGAACATGGTTCCTCCTTTCTTTCTTACTGTTTTTAAAAGACACCCATTTTCCCCTTCAAATGTCTCTTATGCCCCATCTGCCACTCTACACTTCTCTCAGGAGCAAAACTTCATAGTCCCTCTCTCACAGGGGTCTGCATAATGTTGGATTATGAAGCAGCTAATAAATAAGCAGGAAATTACTTCCAAACCACACACACAAAAAGAGTGGCAAGCCAAAGGTACATATAAATCTAGAAAGAAAAATACAGGACAGTTAGGAGCCACAGTTAATAGCACAGTGCTTTAGGAAAGACAAACAACCCTTCTGACAGCTAATTAAACCAAGCTGGTGGAATATTTATTGGGTTTTACCACAAGGCAGAATGGTGGAAGATGTGTGAAGAAAACTGAAGATGATCCTCAGTGGCAAGGAACTGCTCACACACAGGGGAAGGAAGCTCTCCAGCTTCAAACATTAACGAGTCACCTCTGTGAAGCACTGGCAAGAGATTTCATTTCTCACTACTGTGCAATGCACCAAATATTAAGGGCAATGTTGGAAAAATCTGACTCCTTTATATCACTAGATACAGAGGAGTGGTCCAGAAATGAAATAATGAATTTCACACTGTTACTCTTCCACAGTGAGACCCATTCTTTCCCTTTCCTTGGCACCTCTCAAGCTCAGATTTTGAAGTGTTACAGGCAGAATCCAAGAGTAGAGGAAGGCTAGACTGCAGAATAGACTTAAATATTTTCTTGCTTAACACCATGGTGGTTTATCTCAGCTAACCTTGGTGGTGTCAAGTCACACTCAAAGACTTGGCCCTAGGTTTAGGTCTAACCTGCTGCATGGCCCAGGGCACCTGGGACTGGGAAGGGGCTGTTCTCAGCAGGGGACAGCAGAGCTGAGGAGCACAGAGGTGGAGACATCTGCTGCCTTATCCAAAACTGCAAGGAGGGATTTTATTTCATTGGAAATACATTGGCTTAACCTTTTCATTCAGGAAACAGAAGAGTGAGCTCATTTCTTCTCTTAAAACACCTCAGAGAAGAAAATGGAACCAGAATTTGCTGTAACCATGGACAAACACATCAAAAGGAGAACTGTCAGTAGCAGAGGCATCTCTGACTACATTTTAAAAGACAATGACCCCTTTTTAATTCCAGTTTGTGAGGAGACCAAGGACATACTCTGAGATGAAAACAGGTGCTGGGACAGCATGTATCATATACACTTGGGCTGTTCTTACTCTGTGGGCTTCCACTTAGGGCCTCTGCTGAAGAGAGCCAACAAGGCTAGAGGGACTCTTGCTCTCACCCACTGGGGCTGCTCCAGGTCACTGTGATTTCAGTCACACAAAAGGAGCACTTAATGGACCATCCCATTGAGGGAAACAGTTTGCATTGCTCCTCTTTCCACATTCTTGACCTGTCCTGTTTACCAAAATGGAAGAGCTTCTGGGTAGGAGCAGAGGATGAAGCCTGCAGTGTCTCAGGAGGTAAGGTCTGGGTACCTCCAGAGGTCACTGGCAGCTGAAGTTGGGTTTTGAGGACCACAGCTTCTGAGCTAAGTCTTTCAACTCTTCCCTGGTCACAATCTTGCATCCTTCTGGTGAGCATGGCAAATAGTGTAATTCACATTTTATATGGAAGGGAACCTGGACTCAGGAGCAGTGGATGACCCACGCTCCTGTACCAAACTTTTTCCCTAAAACTCATTATTAGTAGCAGTGAAAAAATAGAAGTAAAAATATCTAACTATCCAGCACCTACTTTAAGGCAAACGATAGAGGAAGCCACTTGTAGCCACAGGGAAAAGGCTGTCAGTCCCGTGGTGTTTTATCCAAAAAGTTTTGGCCAGAATGTGCCACATGCTCATCTTTTCCTCGGGCTGCTCTACTGAGCTGGTGCCAAATAGCAAAGGGATGAGTTGCCCCTAAATATAGATCAGAGCATGTGAGCTGTCACCTTGGGAAGCTCTGCAGCATATTATGGACTCATAGTGCTCTGAAAATGGAACTTTTTCCTTCCCCAATACTCTGGGATCCTTGGAGGTTGAACACCCAGGCAAGGGAGCACTCTGCCAGCTGCTCTCACCTGGTGGTGACCACACCAGTCACCTGGGGCTGCTCACCTGCTCTGACCAGCCTCTGGGCTCTCTGAAGCCACACGAGGAGCCAAGGCAGCTTCACAGCTTCTTTTAGCCCATATCTTGAGAATTCCACCTCTCCAAGCTCAGAGGGTGTTTGTCCTTAACCCCTGCCTTTGCCACACTATCCCAGGAGCTGAGTCCCACCCCGAGCAGCACACAGCTTGACTCTGGCAGCCCGGCTTCTGCTGCAGGTTCCACCTGTGCAAACCCCATGTTTTGAGATCACTCCCCAAGCAGCAGCTGTGCAAGCTGGTTATTCTTCTCCAGCACCCTGCTCCCACCTGGGTGACCTCATTAGTCCTGCCAGAAATTGCAAAACAGCCACTGTGGCCACATTTAACTTTCCTGCTCTTTATGACGGAGGAGGGGAAGTCAAAGAGGGAGCTCTTTTCAAATCACACCATCAGTCTGTTGGGCTGGCAGCTAGACAAGTCTTTCTTTTTATTTGTAAACTGTGAAAATTTCCCCCAGACTCACTGAGATAATAAACCTGGAAGCTTGCAGGGGCTCTTTGGTAGCGTGGGTTATACAGCGTTCGCTCACCACACGAAAGTCATATGGCAGGAGGAATTACTCTCCAAACCAAAGAGGCAAAAACTAGAAAGTTATGTAAGGTGAGGTTGTGTTTACTACAAAAAAAAAATGTTGAGAAAGCAAATGTGTGCTCGGGTTTGCAGGCTTTCAAAGGTAATATATTCTTCAGTCAAGAATATGTGTTAACATATTCAGTATAATAATTGCATTCTCACCGTTACTATCAGAATTACACTGAGTGTAAGAGACCATTAAAAAGATAGACTTAATTAACAGCATCTATTTTAAGCCTCTTCAGCCAGCCCTGGAACTTGTTTTGGCTCTGAATAACAGCACATACACTGCATTAGCAGCTCTTTACACCCCTTTGTGCTGCCTAGAAAGGACCCTGGGACTCAAATGCCTTGGTAAAATCTCACCCAACAGCTCTGTTAGCTAATGCTGTTGAGTACTGACAAATTTGTCAGCTGGTCACATCTGGAAAGGAGATATTTTATGCTCCTAAATACTCTGTAGTGCCAGAGTATCCTGTACTTCATGGAGCTCTGTCATAGGATGCAGGACTTACAAGGTGGCCCTTGGAGGCCAAGCTGGATTTCTGAGAGCATTTTAAATGGCACTGTGCTTAGGTCCATGAGCTGTTCCATCTCCACTTCTAGTAAGAGGAGAAGTTTCAATTTTTCTAGTTGTTCCAAACAGTTGTTTCTTCATTAAGATTTCAGTAGGATTAACAACATCATCTGATTCACTCCATTCCCCAGAGTTTTTGAAACATTTGAATGCATTGCTTCAGCAGAAAAAGCACCAGTCAACAGTGTTGTACCTACAGCCAGCTAGGACACGAAGAGAGGCTGCCAGGGATTTTGCCATTAGACAGGTATTTAGCAGCACCCTGAGCAGAGCAAAGGGTTTGTGTTTAGATCCTTACCCTGGGAGGCAAGGCCCACACTCAGCATCATTCTCCTGGTCCCCCGGCGTCAGGACCGTCGCTCGGAAAAACCCCTCGCAGTCTTTGTGCCTCCTGCAGATCTGGTAACCTCCTCTGGAGAACTTCTCTGAGGGGCATGGGATGCAGCCATAGTCCTCGTCCTTGGTACCGTAGCCACAGGTCTAGGACAACACAAGGTTGGGGAAAAAGAGGCTTGAGCTGCATGCTGCCTTCTGGCAAAGGGGGATGTTGGTAGCCTGGCCTGTTGGCTTTGCAGCACAACGCCCTATCAAGGGAAAAAAGTCTCTCATTTCATCCCTTAAAAGGGACTGTCTGTCCTAAAAAGGCCATGGGAGGACATCAGGATGCAGGATACTGTGTGCTGGAGAGGGAAAAGGGGAGCTGGAGCTCTCCTTGGGAAGTGTAGCTATTGGTATCACATGCCAGCAAGCCATGGAAGTGAATTTTGGCTGCTCCTCACATAGAGAGTGAACTGAAAATTGAAGAGTCGATTACAGCATCGACTTTTTTTTTATTTCTTTACAGAATTACAGATTACAGAAGAAGATTACAGGGGAAGAAGATTACAGGGGAAACACGGCTGCAGCACAGAGATCAGTGATCTTGCCTGCAAGCTCGTAGAGGCCAGAAGGAACATCACAAACTGCAATGTTCAGATCAGATTTTGTAACCTCTGAACTTGCATGTCCCAGCTGAACATTACATTTAGATTAAATAAAGCTAAACCCAGCTGGTTATTATTCAAACCTACTTGTTCAGGGCTACTAACTGTGTGAAATTCTTGCAGTAGGATGTTTATCCCATTAAAACCAAACAGGATTTCAGTCTTTTATTTTTTAATAAGCCACAATTATCTGCTGTAAATCAAATGGTTACCTAGGAACCATCATTTAAAATGTTGCAGAAGCCTCCAAGTCCCTCTAGTGCCAAAATATCTTCGCAGGAGAGCAAAATTAAATTCTCAGTGTGGGGGGCCTGCAAGCACACCAGACTAACCCACTGATCCCACCACACTGGAATGGCAACATCAGATTTTAAATAATTATTGAGATGAGAACTCACTGGTGGAGGCTGTTTGTGCAACATTTACCTTACAGCTTCTGCACTATCCCTTTCAGCAGGCTGCTCCTGGGGCGGGGTGCATGGGTGTGCACACACCTTGCTCCCACAACACCCTCACAGGCATCAGCATCCCTGCTCCAGCACCTCCATCCTTCCCCGTTTTCTCTCCTATCCATATATTATGGCCATGTAACAAAGTATTTGGTTTTTTTTTTCACTTGGTGCTCGCTGTGTGCCCCCCTACTAGCAGAAGAAGCTGGAGTTACCATGTAAGGCTCTTCCCCTGGCTCACACTTGGGGCAGTCGTGGCACATGCCGGTGGTCTGGTTGTAGTATTCGTTCTCTCCACAGTTGGAGTATTCGGCGCTGGCAGAGTACACCAGGGAGACCTGTCACCAGAGAGCAGCTCAGAGCACTGTCACTTCCACCCCCTCCCTACCCCACGCCTCGTCCCCTCCCCTCGCCCAAGCTCAGAAACAGAAGGGGTGACACTGCGTGGGATGGAGGCAGATATGGTCTTCAGCAACCTGCTCCCTCTCAGAGGAGTTCCTCAGAGGACTGATGTTGCTGTTTGTTGGCACAGCTGCTCCTCAAAATACTGAAGGCCATGAGTCCTGACCTGGTAATCCCCTCCTGCACAGCAAAGGCCTGAGTTTGTACCCTCATCCCTCCCAGCTCTAACAAGCCTCCATAAATGTGAGTGCAAGGGACAACTGTAACCACCCGAGGCAATGCACTGCTTTGGAACTCAACCCTGATAGGGCTGTGCTTCGTGTGACAGCCAGGCCAACTGTCTCTTCTGGTGCCTTCTATCTGCTCTGTCCTGTCCCTAAGCCACCTGTAGCTGTGCCATGAGCATTCAGAGATGTTTGCAAGGACCCAGGCAGACTGCAGTTCTCTTTGTATGAACACACATAAGTACCTACCACCAGGAAAGGGAACACGTGAGTCCATGTACGTTCACTCAGGTGAGCCATGCTCTCTTGATATTTTATCTGAAAAGATAGAATCAGGGATTGTTTATAAGCACGAGTAAACAGGTCTGTGTTGCCAAAATAAGAACAGAAGGGCTCATAAGCAGAACAAAAGTTGCATGGGAGCGATGCCCGGAGGTCCAAACAAAGAGAGGGGGAGATGTGCACGTGCACTCACACACACACACACCCTACACACCCTCACCACACATCTCTTTCCTCTCTTTGAGGAGACCAATGGCATGGGGAGTCCAGGCTGGCAGTGTTCACAAAAATTGGTGAAAGATGAGGAACCAGGTCTGAGCCCTGGCACCTCCTGGCTTGCTGACAAATCCTCCCACAGAGGAAGGGAGGACCAGCAACGTCTCAACTGCCAGATAAAACAGGGCTGGGGATCCATCACCTGGCTCCTGCCCACACCACTTAGTGCTTGACCCCACCAGATCAGATTTGTTGAGGAAAGATCTAGATGGAGCAACCAAAAGCAGAGCCAGGGAGTGAACCGCTGGCAAGCAGCGTGGGCAGCCAGCTCCTGTGGATCTACCAAGAAAGCCCAGGGCTTTCTTTTCTTCTGTAGGAAGCATTGGCTGCTTTTTGATAGGTAAAGTGCAGATTCAAGAGGTTAAACCCAAGGAAGAAGCCAAACTTTACATCTGAAGTGCTATAACAATGGCTGGGGAAAAGAAAGGCTGCAATCCCTCTTATAAACACACGTGCTAATTTATTTCATTTCTTCAGATGAATAACTTTGAATAAGAGCTAATGTTACATATTCATATACCAGATTTCTTTCTAAAGGGGAAAAAGAGACAGGAAAAGGAGGCACAAATTGTCTTCTTAGCATGATACAACATATTTAATGGTATTGTTACAGCACATAATATGCCCTAGGGATTTTGCAGCTTCGAATTGCAAATGTTTGAGACACAATTGCAACACTTTGGTCCTAGCAGATGTAAAGTACTCTTTAAATTTTCCGGGTCTCAGACACTGCAATGCCTTTAGTCTCCCAGAAGAATACAATTACTGCTTTGTGCCACATTCAAGCATGCAACCATCATAAGAGCAGCACTCTAGTATTTGAGATAGCTGTTAACATTTACATTTTTAAACGCTAAGTAGATTAAACAAAGATTATATCACTCCAGCATCCACCTAGGAACTTGCTTTATATGTTCCTTCCAGCAATTGGGCTAGCTGAGACAGGTAACTGGGTGGGTGGGTGGACAACCTGAATTATGAGTACATTCATTTCTGCAGGAAATTGCACTGTGAAACCCAGAAACAAAAGAAAATCAGAAAGAAATTGTCCTAAATCTGGAGGTAAGAGATGGAAAATAATAATGCCATTGTTTAAACTGTCAGACATGGAAGTTGGACAATGGCTTTGGTTATGGCAGTGCTGTTGCTTGGAAAAGTTCCAAGGATATAGTCTTAATGCAGACATCTGTTAAACTGAATTCTAATTACAAAAGAGCTTGTTAGACTTTAAATATGAATATTATTAAGGCTGTGTCCTCACTGATACTGCAAAATTATTGCATTTGTTAGAAACCAGGTCTGAAGCTGCCCAGGACCAAAAATTTTACTAGTAAATATCTGTAACTTCACAGTAAGAATACCTCTTACAGTAAAAACATGCTTCGGTTGCTTTCAAGCCACCCAGATGTTTGCTGTTTAAGGTACTTGTATGAAATCAGAGCCAGATTTAAAAAAGGGAAATGAAGAATGTAGCCCATGAATGTATAAAACAATCTTCTCCAGTCATTTGGCATCTATTGACATGAAATGTTGAACGTGTCAGGTTGTACACGCACACATAAAGTATTCTTTCTGTCTCAATATAAACATGCATGTGGGGGTATGTTTTGTGTGTAAACACACAGTTTTTCCCCCTGCATTCCACTGTTATACACAGCAATATGTCAAGCACATGGGAAATATTTATTGACTGGAAAAAGCCAGTTCAAAATGCTGAACATGGCCAGATTAGAACTCCAGGGGAGACTTTTTCCCCAAATTGGAAGACAAAAATTTTGAATTTAATTATTCAGCCTCCCAGTCAAGTATACTGACATAAACAGGATGGCTTTTTTTTTTTTTTTTTCCCTTCTTTGGAGTTAAAACCCAAAATTCTTACTTAAATTTTGTAACACAGGAGTTGGTGAAGGCAGATGCAGAGGTTTCTGGGCCACAGGCAGCTCATCAGTGGGGTAATACCTGAAGACATCCACCCAGATATGCCAGGCTGCTTTTGGGCTTGCTTTCAATTTTCAGGCAAGTTAATTTATACCTGCACTGTACTATCTGCCACGTATTAACCCCATCCACCCAGCAAGGGGTCTTCTTGTGCTAAGATTGCTTTTATCTCTATGAAGAGATGCAAAGCTTGGACAATCAGCCAGCTTCTATCAAGAAATGGGAAAAAGAGTGACCACTTATTATGGCCCAAATCATTAAAGCAATTATTTCTTAATGAATTAACAGATGCTGCACCTTTCCTTCCTACTCTGCTGTGCTCTGACTAAAGCAAACGACTCTTCCCTGCAGGATGACATGCAATGGTGAGTGGGAGGAGTGACAAATGCTAGAGACTCCTTATCTGAGCTTCTGTCCTGTAGACTGCAAGGCACAAGTCTGGTCTGGAGGAATAGGGAAGGAGATGCCTGGGACCCTTTTACTCATAGAATCATAGAATCCTTTAGGTTGGAAGAGACCGTTAAGATCATCAAGTCCAACCATTGAGCCATTAGGGCTCTAAAGTCCTCTGCTAAAACAGATCAGAATCTGTCAGGGTTGGAAGGGACCCCAAGGATCCCCCAGTTCCAACCCCTCTGCCATGAGCAGGGACACCTCCCACTAGATCAGGCTGCCCAGAGCCTCCTCCAGCCTGGCCTTAAAGACCCCCAGGGATGGGGCCTCAACCACCACCCTGGGCAACCCATTCCAGGGTCTCACCACTCTCATGGGGAAGAACTTCTTCCTCACATCCAGCCTGAATCTGCCCACTTCCAGCTTTGCCCCATTCCCCCCAGTCCTGTCGTTACTCGATATCCTAAAAAGTCCCTCCCCAGCTTTCTTGTAGGCGCCCCTAAGATACTGGAAGGCCACAATAAGGTCCCCTCGGAGCCTTCTCTTCTCCAGACTGAACAGCCCCAACTCTCTCAGTCTGTCCTCACAGCAGAGCTGCTCCAGCCCTCGGATCATTCTGGTGGCCCTTCTCTGGACACGCTCCAGCAGCTCCACACACTCAAACACTTCTCCTCCCTGACAAAAGGCCCTTCCACATAGTCTCTGTGGCTTCCTACCAAGAACTCACAGATAAAAACAAGCAAATACATAAATCAATCCCCAGGCAGAAAATGCTTGGTTCATTCTGTCCAAAGGAGAAAAAAACACCATTTGTGGTAGTTAGCCTTTGAATTTGGTAATTTATTTAGATGATAAGGTAGCACTGCCATGATAATATAGTACATGGTAGCATGCTACTCAGGGATGCTCAGTATCCATGGGTAAGTGGAGTAAACATAGAAAATGTACAAACAATGAGGCTACCACAGCTGGTGGTCTAAACTAAAGCTCACAGATTTTGATGGATGGCCTTAGCTGTTATTTTAATTCTGTGGCTTCAGTAATTAACACAGCACAAAATTTCCTATCGTAGACTTTTTGTTTTTTTAATTATACATTTGGAAAAAGGAGGAAAACAAAACACATGGATTGAAATACAGCAAAATGTATTTCTTAATGTTGTAGAGTGGTGGATCATTTTTGATGTCACTGCATTGACGTAGATACACCTCAAGGACACAAAACTTGACTTTGCAAGAGGGAAAGGCACAAAAGCTCTCAGACAACTTCACCATTTTGGCGTTTCCATACTCATTTCTCTTCTGGGGTTTTCTAAGAAGCAGTTTGGTTAGCAGGTCTGCTGTTATTAATGTGAATCCTGAGTAGCTGGCAAACCAGTATTGATCAGGAATCCACATCCAAGATCTCTATGACTAACAACAGCAGAATATGAGACAAACACTTTTGTATTTTGTATGAGACCAACACTTTTTTTTTGTGGAACAAAATATGTGGCCTGAATTTTTCTTTCAGGAGGAATGAGAATTCCCTGAGCCTGATGGAGAATGGCAATGATGGCAGTGGGAAGCTCAGGGAGAGGATAAACTTAAAGAACTTTAAGAAACGGAAACAGAAACAATGAAGAAAACTACTTTGTAGCCTTGGTTACAGTTTGTATTGTTGTGAAAAAATATTGCACAGAACAGTATTACATCTGTAGGACAACATGAACTACACTGTTTCCCATAGCTGTTTATTGCTTCGACCTTGCAAACACACCTTTAAAGTTACCTCCGAGAGAGATGTGAAAAGTGTTTAAATGATACAACTCTCTTCCTCCCTTTACCCAAAACATCAAAAGGAAGAGAGAACAGCTCAAGCTACACATAAAACTTTAATTGCCTCTGTGATCTGGCAACTCCATCAGAAAAAGAACTCATCGCTCGGGCACAGAAACCAGAGTTTTTCCAGTGGGAACTGCATTGACAAGAGGGGACATAAAAGATTCCTTAATTTGTGGATGGGGGCACCGCAGGCTGAGGATTTGGGGGCAATCAAGCCTAATATAGAGCTATCTGTCTCTTACAGACTTGCTTAGTTGGAAACTACATCTGGAAGCCTATTCCAACCTGCTTTCTCACCTTACCTAAAGACACATACTGGCTCTCAGATAGAGAGCCAAAATGGCACAGAGCTGAGGGGACCCTTGGGTCTCCCTGCCCAGCCCTGCTGGACCAAGGTCTGCCAGAGGAGCATGGTAGTCTCCATCTCCACCCTAAAGTCCTCCCAGGGCACATGGTTTTCAGGCAAACCTCCCTCCCTGCTGCCCCAGCGACCCAAGCCACTCAGGGAAGTGAGAGGGGAGTGAGCATGGGATGGCTTTTTAGGCAGAAAACCATTGATACCACAACCTGCCACTGCAGCACATTCACTTCAGTGATGC